GTTAATTCACTGTAATTAAAGAGAATATTAGTATCATTCGTAGTATTATACATAAATTTATTCTTTAATAATATATAATATTATTTATTTTTATAAGTACTTACGCTTCATATTTACAAGTCTTTCTTGCTCTGTCGGTCATTTTATTACTACTAATCATATTTTTATATAAACGTTCCAACGACTTAATTTTATTTTCCACTTATAACGGGGTTATAGGGTAATTACTATGACCCATTATTAATTACTATGACCCATTTCTTGTGCAATTTGTTTCCATAAAATTTTATAAGTTTTTATTTTCCTTGTATTTACAAGATTTTTCTTAGATTTATAAGTGTCTAAACAACAGTTTTGATCATTCCAAAACCACGATAAAGTTGTATTTATAGCAATTTTATTTTGATTATTCTGATCATTCTCATCATTTTGATAATTTTGATCATTATGATCATTTTCATCATTTTGATCATTTTGAATATTTTCATCATTTTAATTTTGTGTATTATTATATATTTCTCTTCTTATTTTAGAAAGGTCTATACAAATTTGACTTCCATCAAGATTAAAGATTAAAGTATCCGAAGAAAAATTTATATCTGTCTTCGGAAATTTTTACTGTTTTCCATTTAAATAAAAAATGTAATTTAAGTAAAAAAAGATATATTTACTCGCTTATAAAAATGTTGGCGCGCTTTTTTTTGTCATTTTATTCTTGTTTTAAGTCTATTGAACGATAAAGATAGAACGATGAAAAAATGCGCTAACATTTCTAGCATGCTCTGAGAAAATATGGATAATGTTAAGGATATCAATTTATATAAGATGTTTTATTTAACTAACCATTCAAAATAACTTGTTAATTTTTAAAAATATATAAAAACAGAAGAGACCTGAATTAAATTTGACATTCTGTACATCATTATATAGCACAGTTATAAATAATTTGTTAAAAATATTAGGTGTACAAAAAAGTTCTGAGTTTTTTTTTGTAAAATTCAATTTTTCAAAAACAAACAAAAAAATATTAATCAGCAAAATATTCCCCGTTTGCATCAACGACCTTTTGCCATCTTTCGGGTAGCTTGCGAATTCCTTGACGATAGAAGCTGACCGGCTTCGAAGTGATAAAGTCATCAATGCATTTTCGTATCTCTTCAAATCTCACAAAATGTGTATCAGCCAAATGATGCTGCAGCGACCGGAATAGATAATAATCGAAAAGTGCCATGTCTGGGCTATACGCCGCGTGCGGAAGAAGTTCCCAGCCTAACGCAAAGATGTGGTCCTGAGTCGCTTTCGCAACATGTGATCGAGCATTGTTATGAAGCAAGATCACTTTACGACGCCAGTCCTTGGCCAGTAAATGGCCTCTTTTCTTCTAATGAATCGCTCAAATTGGTCAATTGTTGTTGGTAGCGGTCTGCCGTGATTGTTTCACCCGATTGTAACAACTCGTAATACAACACATCTTTCCAATCCCATCAGATACAGAGCAAAACCTTCTTGGCATGGATATTGGGCTTTGGCGTCGAAGATTGATCAGGGTCAACCCATGATTTTCTACGTTTAGGGTTATCATAAAGAATCCACTTTTCATCGCCTGTAATGATTTTGTGCAGAAAATCTTTTTTCCGGAACTTTGAAAGCAAAATGAGTGCAGTGTCACGCCGACGATTTTTGTTGTCTTCGGACAATTCATGCGGAACCCATCTGTCTTCCTTCTGAACCTTTCCCATCGTATGTAAACGTACGGAAATGGTTTGCTGCGTAACGCCAAGCTGTTCTGCAAGCTTCTTTTCAGTTTGCGCAGAGTTTATATCCAGCAGTGCTTGCAATTCGTCCGTTTCAATCTTTTGAGGGCGTCCAGCACACGGTTCATCTTCAAAATTGAAATCTCCTTGGCGAAATTTTTGATACCATCTTTTACATGTAGTATGACTTACAGCGTTCTCTCCATATGCAGCACAAATCATTGCAGTGGCTTCAGCAGCATTTTTTTTCAGATGAAACGCGAAGTGGATGGAAAATCGAATATGCTCTTTTGTTATTGCCATCGTGAACTACTGATTTTTGAAGTTATGTGCATCAAATACCAACCGTATGGCATTTTAGAAGGCCAAATGTCAACGCTTTAAAACCGCAAAAGGGCGGGAAGATATATAAAATTTAAATTGTTATTTCGGTTGTATGAAATCTAAAGCTCAGAACTTTTTTGTACACCTAATACTTGTAATACCTTCAATTATGCAATTTACACATTCATTTGAATCCACTTTTATTTTTCCAAAAGTGTCCAGCTAAAACGCCAGTAATTGCACAATATCTGCCGCCATTTTACTTTTTTATAAATATGATTTTTATAAATATAATTTTTATAAATAATTTTGAAAACAAATGTTATAAAAAGTTACGTATAAAAGAATGTGTATACACTTGTTCGTTAAACAACTAATTTGGATTTCGCGATGGAGTAAAAAATTCGCACGAAAGAAACACTCACTGAATTGCACGCAAGTTAATAATTTATTATACACTTAATACGGTTCACAAGAAAAAAACGTAATATACACGGATCGAACTAATTATACTATTTAAATTTGCAAACGCGAAGCGATCGCGACGAACAATTTTGCGCAAGCAACGATAATTCTTTACGAGGCAAGCAACTTCGTAAAACATTTTACTACCTTTGAGCAATTTAATACCTTTGAGAGCAAGCAACTCTACGAATTTTGATTACGTCGGTACTGATTCTGCTTTGTTGATAAGCTCAAACAGACGCTGCAGGCTGTCTCGACACTTTTTATACAAAAGTTCTAGATTGTTCCTTTCGCAACGACTCCGAAACTTGCGTCAGGAAAAGAACAATCTAGAATTATAATTTTCATTAAATTAAATAATTGTTATTGTTTATAAGTCAAGAAGACAATAGCTGCTGTCAAGCGCTAATTGGCTTCCTGACTTCGAATCTGCCGCCACGATTCGATGGCAGCGCGAGGCACGTGTACTCGCGCGCAAATTGGCGCGCGTTGCTCTTTTTAGTCTTCAGCCACTTTTTACTTTTTCTCAAGATCAAGTACAAAAAGTGTTACCAGAAATGTAACTGCACTGGCAAAACGAACAGCGGTTGTTACAAACCTATAGTTTCACCGTTTATCATTTTCACTGTGATCACGCAGCGAAAGAAATTATTAGTGACATAACTAGAAAGTGACTTATTCACATCAAAATATTCCAAAAATTACACTGGCAATTTCACGATTGTAAATATGAAAAACCTTAATATTTAGCAAAATAAAGAGATACGAACTTAGGAATAAATATTTCTATCCGTGCAAAAAAGATAAATACATCAACAGCAATAAGGAAGACAATTACTAATAATTGTAAGTTGCAACCATTTATTAATTTATTTGAAATATATAAACTTTTATTTAAAAAAATTTCTCTATTTCAGTGTCTGTATTTCAAACAAACAGGAGCATAACAGATAAGCTTTGAGAGCTAAGCCCGCTTGAAGACGTTCAAAGTGATGAACTGCAATTCATCGAAGAGTATAAGTCGTTAAATGAGTCTGAATCTAACGAAGGAATTTACACATTTTCTTTTTCTTATTCCTTATATCTTATATTTGGCTGCCATACGGCACCATATAGGCCACGATTTAATTCAAAAATATAATTGAGAGAACAACGACAAATGCGTGAGCAAAAATCAAAGAAAAAGCGTGATAACGCAATACAAAAATTTATGTGAGGACAAAGGACGTCCGAACTACTCAACGGCCCGAAAAGGACTCCGAGTCTACATATCATATTTTGCAGGAAAAAAATATTCTTTAATCATAGAAAGTACAAATCACAATTCAGATAATGGAGTGATAAAAAGAATATAAATGACGGAAATGATAACTATTTTAAATGTGATATTAAATAAATTTTCTCAAAATGTTATAGTTGACTAAATGACGTTTATTTATGGCAAGTTTAATAAATAATAAAAAATGTAATTACAGTTTTTTGTTTTGTTTCCTTTCTGATTTACTCTATTTTTTTAAATATTACATCTTCTTAGTTTACATCTTGATAATGATGTGTTATATATACTATTATATACCAATTTATCTTCGTAAAAAATTTGAATATTTATCTACAATGGAATATATAGTCATTAAAAATTGAAATTAAAATCTTCTTGCTAAAATTGCTAGATTTAAAGTCCAAAAAAACTGCGGCCATTTTACTAATTAATATACCATAAAAATTAAAGGCCTCTTTCACCAATCTTTTTTTTAAGTTAACCGACGGTTAACCCGCAGGAGTGCCAACTGTAATTCAATACTCAGAAAGTAGTATTTTTTAACCTAATATTTTTTATGTTGTAGGTATTTTGGTAGGTAGATGAAATTGTAAATAATATCCGATAATTAATGTAAATAAAAATTATTAAACAATCATTTGCTTAAATAAAAATTTTAATACTTATCTATAATAAATAGTTTACTTCTTAGTTGTTGGCAATCATGATGATCGAGTTAAGCGGTTAGCTTAACCGAAGATTGATGAAAGAGGTCCTAAGAAAATGGTGAAAAGTTTTACGCTATATATCTCACGCTTTTCACAGAATTAAAATTACGTGATCACAAAATGATGAAATTCACACGAGACTCGTCATTTCTCACTGATTCGTTCTAGCGGAAAACTTATGTGATGCTATGATCAGGAGCACGTAGTGTCTCGCGTATCAAATTGCACATTTATCATATCTTCCTCTTTAATTAAAAATACTAATTATTTTCTTATATAATTTAAATTATAACGGAAAACAATTTGCGATTAAAAATTTATACTTTTTTCTTTTTACGTGGATTGAAGTTCAAATATCAACAAATTTTTAAATTAAAAAAAAAACTTGAACTTGATAACTACTTAGTAACTAAATAACTTCTTAGAAGATATTCCATGTGTGAAAGTACTCAAATTTAACATAATACAACAACATAACACAAATACAAAATTACAGGAAAATCGGAGGAGATATATTTATGCATATTTATAAAATAAATTAATTAAAGAGAGTTAATTTTGTTAACAATCATTACTTGATTATGTACTCTTAGGGTTGCCATCCGTTCTCTTTTTCTCAGACACTGTCCTCTTTTTTAGAGCGTCCGAGAACGTCCGGGGGGATTTTTTGAAAGCGTCCGGGATTTAATTATAAGCGTCCGAGGTTTTAAGAAATTTTCTAAATATTTTGTTTTGATTCCTCTCGCATTACTCTGCATTACCAAATAGCACAGATATCACGTAAAAGAGTTAAAATTTTTTATTTTAAAATCAAAATAGTCTGTATTTATTTAATATTCAGTTCAAATTTCTCTTTGCTCTGAATGCTAATAAACAATTAGATATGAAATAGTGATTCATTTACTGTTCTGATCAATTTTATTAATTTAACCGCATTTTTGTCCGGGTTGCAACCGAAATGTCCGGGGTTTTTGGCTAAGTCCTAGTTTTGAAAATTTTAATATGGTCCTATGTACTCTAGATATTTGCTTTAAAAAAACATCTTTTCTTAGTTTCTTTTATATTGGTATCGATTATATTTTTCGACTCTCGCACAACACTAAATGTAGGATGTTAGCATAAGTCAGTGTCCTAAAGTAATATTGCGAGTGTAATTGTGTATAGCAATTTAAAAATAATTGCCAATTTCATTCTTCTCGTAAAAGCAAATCTCTAGAAATCTACTAAAAATCAGATACATAGAAAAATTAAGACATCTGCAAAAATTAAACTTTTAAAATTGCTAATTAATCATAAAATTAATCTAAGAAATTTAATGCTGTGACATTTATGTAAAATTGGTTTTTGATATAAATTAATAATATTTTGGGCATATAAAAGATTTCAAATAGATAGTAATTCCTGAAACATCGATTTTAAAGTGTAGTCTACATGAAAATAGTAATTGTAATTTGTTTTTGTGTTGTAAAGAAAATGGAATTGACCATACGTACTTTCAGTTTTAATAAGGTATAGAATAATACAGCAATTATTAACTAAAAATACAACTATATGAAAAAATCTTTCAAATTTTTAATATATTTTTTAATAATTTTATGTTAATCACGCTTTCTCTTCAAATATATTCATACAATTGTATTCAAAATTATAATTACGATTCTTTCCTAGATCACATATAATATTATACATCTTGTATTATACACACATTATATCTGGTCGATTATATTTATATTACATATATTTAACTTGTATTATACACACATTATATCTGGTCGATTATATTTATATTACATATATTTAGCAAAAAATGCATTTTTATAAAAATTATATCTAATAATATAACATTTCCTAAATCAAGAATTTAACATATTACAGTAGGTGCAAGGTAATCATTTGCTATGCAACTTTTCTATACAAATGCTTAACTGTTGGAGACGATGAAGCAAGTGTCGCATATTTGCACTCGATTGTCGAAGACCTGACTGTTCGCTACCCACTTCTTGTCGTTGCCCCAGCTCGAAATGTAGTCTGGCCAAACGTTCTTGTTGCTCTCGTATCTCCGTCATCTGCTCCATGCTACAGTCTTTTCCTACAAATAATCCTCGGTCTTCTTAAATATTTCACTATTTATACAAGGCAAGGACATATACAAACCAAACGCTCGTAAATTGCCGCTATGAAAGTCTTCCAACAATTGCAGGAGAGCTTGTTCCATATGACGAACATCGGGAACCTCTGACAAAAAGCAATGGTGTTTGCATGGCACCATAGCTTTGTATGATAATACCAAAACAAAATCAGAATGTGTAAACTTAAAAAAACTTAAATATGTAAGGCTTACAATCTCTCTCTCTCATACACAACAAAAATCATTAAAATTATAAATAATTTAAAAATAAACACATATATGAGTTATTTATGAAATAAAAAGTAAATACAGTGAAATTGAAGAATTAAAGGAATTAAAAAGATAAAAAATTATATTTATATAAGATGTATTTTCCATATTTCTAGAATCTCAACTACCTTTCTGCTGTCTCACAATTCTTGGAAGATCTGGTCGATTAGGTCTCTGTTTCTCCTTTTCATTAAGATATGTTAATCGAGATGTATTGCTAGTATAATTTAAAGCGTTAACAGCTCGACTGGAAATCATGGAGCCTTGACTTGTTCCTTGTCCGGAACTTCCTTTACTAATAATTGGTGATATTTGCATGTTACTTTCCCACAATACTTGTTGCTACAAGAATATCACTTGAGAAAATAATATTATATTATTATATCATAAAATAATAATTATATTATTATCATCATATCACCGATATAATACTGTTAAATATTGGAACTATTATATACAGAATGGGGAAAAGTCCCGAACCCCTGAAATATCTCGATAACAAAACATTTTTGAGAAAAATGTTTCATACAAAAATTATAGGAACAAGATTAATGACCTTGAATAGCGTTGTTAAAATACATAAAAATCACTTCGAAATTTTTAAATAAAAATTCTCTTTTTGCATATTCTTGTAGTTTATTTCGAAAGCTTTTCAAAACACTGTAATTAAATATTTTTTCATTCAAGAAAATTTTCTGTTATGAGTTACGAGACATGAATGTTATAGTATTTTGATATAAAATGCAAAATATCTTGTATAATATTCAATTTTCGATAATCTTACCTTAATACTTTGATGCACAAAATAATAGGATAAATCAACTAGTGTAAAGAAGACACAAATTGTTTTTAAAAAAAGCATATATGTAATTTGCAATGGAGCTACATATTTTTTTTTAAAGCAATTTGTGTTTTTCCATTTCCATTTAAAAATGTTAAAGTGATTTTTACGTAATCTTAAAAATGATATTCAAGGTCACACTAACTTTGCTACACTTATGACTAATATGTCTCTTAAAATCCTACATCTTTTATATAAAACATTTTTCTCAAAAATGTTTTGTATTGTGATATTTCAAAGGCTGAGACTCTATATGTGTACACACACACACACATACACACACACACACACACACACACACGCGCGCGCGCGCGCGCGCGCGCTGCAACAGATTACATATGATAATTATTTTAAATAATTATAAATAAGATATCGTACTGATATATTGGAGTTATGTACTTCAGTTTTATTTGGACGTTGTAATCTTGCTGGAGTCGATGGAGGAGTAGCTTCTCCTCCATGACTGAGTGGCTCTTCACATTCTTCCTCTTGAACTAGTTGTTGTAATTCACCACATCCAGCTACTTCTGCCATAGTAGCTAGAAGTATACTTTGCTTGGAAAAAAAAAGATTCAATAATTATTTGTTCATCTTTTTTATTAACACATTTAACATTTTATATATTTAAGATTTTTATATATTAATAATTTCAATATTTAATAATATTTAATATATTTGCATAAATTTTGTTTATATTCCAGATACTGTCAAGAATAAAATTATATTTTCAACAATTTTGATATAAAAACTTGTACTCCTTCTTTATTTCTGAACTTTTTCGTATATTTATATAAAAAGATATCATGATTATAAAAATATTTAGTTCTAGTTCAAGAAACATAGATTATACTACTAAAAAAATACATATTTAAGATAATACATATTAAGGATAATACAAATTAAATTATCTTCTAAAAAAGTTCTCTTTATATTGACTAAAAAATAATTTATTTCTTTAACTAATTCTACTATCTTAAGGTTTGATTGTATAATATTATTATTGTATAATATTATTTTGAGTTTAACCAAGATTTGAAATTTAAATTTTGTTATATCAAAGCAAAAGTGACAGATAAGATATTTTAATTTGCACTTATCTTATCAAACATAGTACAAATTATTCTGGGTTTTGCTTTTGCTTTAGTCCAACAAATTAAAAATTTAATGTCTCAATTAAAGATAAAATAACTGAATCTAAGATGTTTAAAATTTAAATTAAGCATTTTCGCTTGGCAAAAAAATATAAAATAAAATTCAAAATATTATTCTTTTTATATTGCATTCAAAAATTTTATATTTATCATAAAAAGTAAATTAAATTCAATTATTGACATATTCATTATTAATATTACAAAATTAATGAGAATCGACTGTTTTACATACAAGATACATTAATATTATATTATATCAATATTATATTTCTATTGCACTTTGCTAGCTAGTATGTATTGCAACACGGTTGTCAGTAAATATTAAGTTTACCTTCTTCACATCAAATTTCGATGTAATTAGGCCTATTCAACGCGTTTTTGCAAGAAATGAAATAATCTGGGGTAAATATTTACTTTAACCTGCTCACTTTGGATTCAATAAAAATATATTCAATCGAGTAAATGTTTACTTTAATTCGTTTACCTTGGATTTTGATAAAAATATACTCAATCAATGTTTTTGAGTAAAAACAAAGATATGAGCAAAGAAAGCGTCGTTTTGCTTCACGAAACGAGATACAAGGCATTAAATATTTTTTTTGCCCCTTCCAGATGGAAGTGTTAGGGCAGGAGCACACATTTCTGCATAAAGGCCATTACATGTGAAAAAATTTTAAACGTAATCGTAAGATCATAAGCAAATTGACCAATCAGAATCAATTATTCTCCTTACAATCTAAAAATAATTGATTGTAGTTGATCAATTCGCTTATGACCTTACGATTACCACTAAAATTTTTTCACGTGCAATGGCCTTAATGCATAATACATGACCATATTAGACTAGCGATTGCGCGGCTACGATTGCCGGTTGACGATTCTATTTCAGCCAATCATAATGTAGCAGGTCTTGATACGGTCAATATGATTGATAATAGTAGAATCGTCAACCGGCAATCGTAGTCGGGCAACCGTGGGTGACACCCGTTTGACTACATTAGTGATCAATTGGGACGTGGTCAAATGGGTGTCACTCTCAGCTAGCGGTTGCCGGGTGACACCCGTTTGACGCATCCCCACTAGTCACTCACAGGGGCCAGCGTTTAGAATTTTTCCACTGTTCAAGCGCTGTGAATGGCTAGGGATCAATTGGAACGTGGTCAAACGGGTGTCATCCCTAGTCTGATATAGCCTTAACGCATAAAAAAATGAACCAATCAGAATTTTTCATTTCCATTGGGAAGTAGAAACGGAGGACTATGATTAGTTCATTTTCTTATGCGTTATGTAGAAGTGTGTGCTGCGGCTCTTATTGTGGGAGCTTTCCAGCTAAGAAACACAATTAATCACAGTGGTGTAGTTTCCACCGAAGTCTTCAATTCGATTCCATTTTGGTACGGATCAAATTTAGAATGTGTTCTTTTATTCACTCCGAGTACTATAATATAAATATTACGAATAGCATTGATATAGAGAGCAGTGCACTACAAAAGTATTGTCTTGAATTCTATGACGTCATTGATTTTGACGTACTTCCTGTTGTGGTTATTGCAACCAGCGAGGTAAAGCACAAAGGTCAAAGCACAAAGATGGCTGCTTCCATAGCTTTTTTTCTGCCAGATTCTTTTGTTTTGTGCAAAAACGCGTCAAATAAGCCTATTTTATTAAAATCGGAGATAGGGGACCTAAAGTAAACATTTACCTGAAATTATTATGATATTATATAATATTATGAAATTATTTATTATTATTAGTTTTTTATTATTTATTTTTTATT